TGAGAAATAAATTAACAATTATTTGTGTCTCTTAAATGACTCAAGAATTAAATTAAAAATAATTGGACCTAAACCCAATATTTAATCTAAGTTCTCAGTCCAAAAACCTCTTAAGGATCCCACAATGCAATCCAAACAGCAATTGGACACCTTCGTCGTACCTGTAAAAACAATTCGAATTTTTGACTTATCCTGATCCGATCTAATTTGCAAATACGAACCCGAATCAAAAGTCAACCTGAATTCAACTGCTGCCATGCAGGCAATTTGTCCAAACAATTTTGCCACACAGACAATTTGCCTACACAAGCAAAGTTCTACCACGTATGCAGAATTTGTTTGCCGCACATGCAGATTTTTTTTTTGTTGTAATTTCTTGATCTTCTTTGTTATGTCTTCTAGGTTTTCAATCTTTAATCAATTTTCAAGATTCAACAATTACAAGAAGTACATAATTCCTATGTCACGTAAGCTTACAATTTTGAATCTAATTTAAAAGAAAATTAAATTAATATGATGGAGATGTAATCTACCTATCTTGTTACAGACTCAAAATAACAAATTACATCAAGAACTGGCCACAAATAATTGGATCACAGTTTAAAAAATTCAATAGCGCTCGACTAGAACATGCAATCAAGATTTATAAATAACAAACACGTTAACGATCTAGATCGCTCTGATTCCAGTTGTTAAAATGCAGAAACGAAATTATCCAGAATTTTAAAAAAAATTAATTCAATAAATAAGATCGTCTGTATGTTCACGTGTATGTTATAACAAGAATTATAGATTCGAATTTTTACCTAAATTTGATGATCAATTCTAGAACTATATCTGAATTACGAACTTTCAGCCTTTTGGATCATAAGGTTCCAGTCTTTTAATTAGAAGAATTTGATACATCAAACCTCTGAGTCTTCTATGATATTCTCCAAAGTCAAAATTGTACGAGTGGGTGGGTGGGTGGGCAGCTTCTTTTAATTAAATCAAGAAACAAATTCTTGGATTGAATAATAAGAAAATATTATTTTTCTCACTTTTTCTCTCTTTCCAAATTTGAACACTATGAAATTATATATTTCTGGTTGATTTTTTATGTCTATCTAATCTTTATTTATAGAGATAAAAGGTGTTTAAATCCATATACAATAATAATTTCAATATCAAATAGGAGTCTTAATTAAAATCGAAGTATGAGTTTTAATTAAAGTCCAAATTCAATTAGTTTACGTTTTATTAAAAGTGTAGTCCTAGAACTTCAATTACAATTATAATTAAATTTACAATTTTTATAGTAATTACAAATAAGTACAAAACTTTAGTGTAATTACAATTAAGTCCAAAACTATTACAATTACCGTAATTAAGTTCAATTACTTTATAGAGCTACCACATGGACCTAATCGGACATATATTTTCCATGCTCTAATAATTAGATCATGTCTAGTCGATCTTATTAAGTTCAATTACTTTATAGAGCTACTATAGGGACCTAATCGGACATATATTTTCCAAGTTCCAATAATTAAATCATGTCTAATCAACCCTAGACCACCCAATCTAATTATAAGTCTTTGTTTTTTCCACTAAAGATAAAAGACTGTACTCTCGGAATATATAAGATCACATAAACCAATAAATCTGTAATACTTTCTTCTAACCTGTCGTATATGAATTTTATCCTCATCTGAGATTCAATAATTAGGTATGAGCATAAAATACCATTTTGCCCCTCTAATTATTCTCACTAATTTAAGTACAATTTTCTTCAACGGTCCTATGAACAAATCACAGATGTCGAAATTTAGTCGTTCACTAAACACTGAGCACATATTTTAACAGTTGAAGAGAAAATACTTAAAAGCCACTCTACCCATTTTTTTACGGCGACGATTACCAACACAAATTCACGTTCTGTACTTCGCTCATTCTCAAATTTCCAACTCATAGAGATACTTGACCAATCAAATTAATCTCATTCATTGATGAATCAAAGAACCATTAAAATAATGAAAAGATATACATAACTCTGTCAGTGATTTAGATGAAATATACAGAGGTGAAGTTGAATTTAATTTTCTGCACGGTCATGCTATAGAATTAAACTCGACATGTGGTCCGTTTAATAAACTCCAAGTGTACTAATGTGACATTTAACTATTTCTGTAATAAGGACAAATCACAAATCCGAATAGTGAATCAGATAACACTACAATCTTTCGGTACAAGGTGCCAACCCTTATATATTGGTAGTGAACAAATTATTTATGACAAAAATATAAGTTGTTTCACACTATACTTTTCAACATAAGTACCTAACTTATATTATCACAAGTGATCATATATTGGAGAAATAGCAAAATGAGTGTGAGAGAGTTTTAAACGTGAGCATCCAATATAAAAAAGGGGTCGGGTTTGGGGAAAAATGAGTAAAAGATGGGGGAGCAAGATTATAATTTTAAGAGTCTAAATTTGCATTACATTTGGATGACACTAAGTGTGAGCTTTTATACTTGGAGAACACTAATGAAGGCCGTTGGATGACAGCGCACGTGGCCTCATCCAAGTGACTAACATTTCTTGTCATAGACTTCAATCAATCATAGCCTTGAATGCTAATACTATTTTCGTATCCATAAGGCATAGCTTACGGCCTGGGACTTTGACCAAATCGGTTGGCGATGGTTGCAGTGAGTTGTCTTGTCAATTATAAGATCTGTTTAAGTCCCTCTTCACCGCCTCGCCCCAGATTGGCTCTTCCCATGCGGTAGGGGTGGGCAAAAAAATCGAAAAACTTATTAAACCGACCGAACCAAACCGAGTTGGGTCGGTTTGGGTTGGTTTGAACCAAAAAATCGGTTTGATTCGTTTAATTTTAACCATTATAAAGTCGGGTTGGGTTGGTTGCGGTTTAAGCAACCAACTCGTCAATTAACCGATCCAACCCGCAAATACATTTTTTTTTTCATTTTAAAATTCATCTTCTTAAAATTTTAAAAAATAAAAATAAAAACACAAATATAATTCTTTTTTTAAATAATATTTACCGTCTACGTTTTTTCTACCAAATCTCCAAATTTCAAAAGAAAAGAAAGTAAGAAGAAGTGTTTATTATAAATTCGAAATTTAGATTATATAATTGCTTTTCATTTTTGGTATAATAGTTTCTTGGTAACTATCGGATATATACGATAATTTTGGAAAAATCAATCCACTACCATTTATATTATATATATTATTGATACGCAAGCAAATATATATAT